GAGAAAGAATGAGAGAGAGAGAGAGTAGAGTGGGAGTGGTCAGAGGTTGGTTCTTGTCTCTTCTTTTGAGGGGGAGGGAGAGTGAGAGAGAAAGAGATAGAGAGAGGGGGGAGAGAGTGAGAAGAGTGGGAGCGGTCAGAGGTGTGTCATTATCTCATCTATTACTGGCATGCGGAGAGGGGGGAGAGAGAGAGAGAGTGAGAGAGAGAAAGAGATAGATAGAGAGAGAGAGAGAGTAGAGGGGGGAGAGAGAGAGAGTAGACTGTAGAGAGTGAGAGAGAGAGAGGGTAGAAGGAGAGAGGAAGAGAGTAGAGAGGGAGAGAAAGAAAAAGAGGGTAGAGAGATAGAGAGAGAAAGAGGGAGAGAAGAAAAAAAAGGGGGGGTCAGAAATTCAGAAATAGAGAAGGGGGAGGGGAGGGGGGGGGGAAGAACAATGAGAAAGAGGAAAAGAGGGAGAAGTGTCTTTTCAATACCTTTTTCTTTCATATGTCAGGTTTTTTCTTTCCTGTTGTTATCCAGTATTGTGGTACTTAAATACTAATGCAGGAAGGGGGTTTTTAATTTTTAGCTGTTTTTTTTTCTCTATCAGATGACAAAAGCCATCCAGTATCTTCAAAGGCTTAGGAAATGTATCTCATTTCATTTCACTTCTGCGTCAAACTATAAACTGTTAATACACTTACTCGAATTTGTCGACAGAAAACCTCCTTAGTGTTGTAAATTCTTTTGAATCTTTCTAAGGAGGGGATTCAGGGTTATGAGTAAGCTTGTACTCATCATTTTTACACACTACCCTTACTTGTGCCTTGTTTCTCTTTTCACCTAAATGAGAAGGCACCTATAATGATAATGATAATATGATAATATTATTGATAATAATTATAATAATAATAATAATAATGATAATAATAATGATAATAATTAAAGATGATTAATAATAATAATGATGATGATAATAGTAAAAATAATTAGATAGTAATAGTAATGATGAAAAATTGCTTTAGTAGAGAGCATATCCCAATTTAACAACAGGTAACCCGTGCAACATATCTTTGACCCAGTAACAATAACTCTCTCTCTCTCTCTCTCTCTCTCTCTCTCTCTCTCTCTCTCTCTCTCTCTCTCTA